GGGGTTTTTTTTCATTGGCATTTCAGAGACGGAATGACTGGAGAGATCTCCCACACTGGATTTTATTAAAACCTTGCAAAGACTGGGGCAGCATCTTGCACGCTGGTACCTCTGCTTGAGAGGAGGCTCTCAAGGCGTCAAATGCTCAGCCCTTAGGGTAGATCACATCTCAGATAGCTTTATCTACCTGCTGTGATGATTTCATACTGGAGGTTCAGATCCTATCGCCACCATTTAATTTCAAAGCCTCTCCCCATCAGGCTTTGAAGAAAGCTCTTTTATTTTTTCTTGTAGCAACTGATAACTCTGCTGTAGATGGAAACATCTCAAGAAAAGCATATCCTTTGCTGTTATTTCCCCAAGATCAATTAGCACCAGCTCCGAGCTTCAGCATTTCCCATCCCGGCTTGCACGTAGGTGGCTTTTGGGAGCCACACGAGTGACTTCATTACACCGAGACAGGGGAAGAAGAATCTCCCACTGTGTGCACGCAACGCTGGAGTTTGTTTTGCAGCACTTGCAGGTCCCTTCACAGCTGCCTTGGCACGTGGCTCCTGTCGTTCCTCGAGTCCATTTCCCCTGGAAAATTCCACTGACCCCGACGGAAAACTCGCGGCGGTGCCGCTGACGCAACGCTGGCTTTCCTACAAAAAAACACAGAGGCTTTTGAGTCATCGCTGGACTTTCCTCTTTAAGAAAACAGAGCTGGAAATCTGCTGGCCAAAAGAGTAGCCCCGGAGCCAGGCTGACGTCAGCGGGTGACCGTGGGTGATAAGGTTTACGTTACCTGTGGGAGCCGCCGCGTCCCACGGGGAGGGGGAAGGAAGGAAGCACTTTCCTCAGCGAGCTTCTTTGCCCCTCTAAGATCAGAAATTCTTCAGTGTCATTTGCATAACACACGAGGAGGAAAAATGGAGCCGTGCAGCTTCTCTTCTTTCCCCCAACCTCCAAATTCTTGTCGGCTTCGGTGACGTGCTTCAGACGGGGTTTATTTGGGAGCCGGAGCGCGTGCGGTCGGGAGCTGGCTTTGTTCCTCCTCTCCTTGCCAAAGCCACGTTCAGCTTCAGTTCTCCGCTTGATTGCTGTAATTAAACTCCAGCCAAATAGGCACGGACGTGTTCGTTCTGGAAAATAAAGCATTTGGTTATTTTCAGGTTAAAACGGGCTTCAGAAGCTCTGCAGACCTCGCTCGTGCCCCCGTGACGCAGGACGCGGCTCCTCAGGGCTCTGCGAGGAAATTAAGATGATTTCGATCAGTCTGTCTTCTCACTATCATGTTTATTTTATTCCTCATGCCATAGGCGTACCTAATTAGGGAGTTAATTGGCAAATATTTGAAATATTTTCTAAAATTTGGCATTTGGAGACGGGCTTGGGTAGCGCGTGACCTTTTCGCCGGCCGCTCTCCGTGCCAAAGCGTGTTGGGTTTGCTCGTTCTGCACCAGCCTGGGGATGGTCTTGTGTGAAGAACCAGGAGCTGATCTCATGGCTCAGCCACCCCCAAAACAACCAAGCTTCTCATACAGGCTGTGGCTGAGCTCTCAGTCTGCATCAGATGGTGAGTGAGGATCTTGGCAGTCGCTCCAGCTTACTTTCAGTTCTGACTCCTGAATTCCACCCGAGGAGACGAGCCAAGCAGCATCAGATACCAGTCCCTGGTATTAAGTGGAGCAACTTTATTTGGTGATGCTACCTGTTGGGCATGCAGGTAGCTCTTGAGGAAAGACTTTGAAAATGTCCTGACACGAGCATCGCCTTCCTTTCTTGGCTGCAGTATGGTAACACATTTCCTGCTGAGTCCAAAAGCCCAAGAGAAAGGGGGCTTCGTTTGTGTTTTTCTTGGGAAAAAAAAAAAAAAAAAACAAACCTTTCCTCCAGAAAGTGACTTCATCAGGAGAGAATTGCATCTAACCAGGTAATAGGTGCAAGCCATGAGATTTGCTTTCACAGTCATCTTTGCTCCAAGCTCGTGCCCAAGTTGGGGAGTTCAGCCTAAGTTGTTCCCACGTGGGGTTGGAGCTGAGGTCCAGCTCCCAGGATGTGCTGCTGTTGGGACAGGAGTGTGGGCAAGTTGGGTTGTTTTTTTGGGAGAGATTGAGTTCTGTAAGAGACTTTTCTTTCTGAAAACCATTGCAGAGCAAGTTGAGCTTGGAGGGGGTTGAGGTAGTTTATTAGTTGCTGGCTTTCTCGTGTGTCACCTTGGATGCTGCAGTGAAAAGCTTCCCAGCAGGTTTTAGGCAGGTCTGTGCCAGCAGAATATTCCTCCTGCATCTCCACAGCATGCAGGTCGTGATCCCTGGGGAAGGGACATGGATCAGGACATGGGCTGGTGTTACTCATGAGCCTCCTTGCATGGTGTTCTCCTCCTTTCTGCTGCTCTTCAACCTGCTCCTTGGTGCAAGGTGTGTAGGCTGTTCCCAACCTTTCTTTTCTTCCTACTTTGCACTTGGCTGATTTGAAGGTACTCCAGAGATGAAGAAGGCTTCAAAATGAGTTTGTACTACCTCTGCTGGAATGAAAACTCGACCCCAGCTCCAACTCTTCAGCATTACCAGAGTATAAATAATAGGTCAGGCCTATCTCAAACCCTACTCAGATATAATTGTAGCTATACTGTGGAAAACTAGACCAACCCCCTGCAGGTGACACCAGCTGTGTTCAGTGGTGTGTGTTGGAGCAGTGCTGGGAAGGCTGGTGATGCCACATGAAGATGGTGGTGACTAATGCTGAGCCATAACCCTGCTTGGGACTCTTTCTAGGCAGCCAGCAGCTTTCTGTGCTAATACATAAGTATCCTCCTGGATACTTAAGCTGGAATGAGGTTTGTGGGAGAGGTGAACATGGAAGAAGAGTTTCTTCTCCCATAAAAATCTATATATCCTGAGAGAGATGTGAGACAAATGGTAAAATTGCTGTAGTTATGTTGGCAGAGAGAAGGATGCTGCTCTGGCCTGAAGGGTGTGCAACTTCTGGAATCATAGAATCACAGAATCATTTGGGTTGGAAGAAACCTTTAAGGTCATTGAGTCCAACTGTTCCCCCAGCACTGCCAGGTCCCCACTGCCCCGTGTCCCTCACACCACATCTCCATGGCTTGGAAACTCCTCCAGGGGTGGGGACTCCCCCACTGCCCTGGGCAGCCTGGCACAGCCCTGGGCAACCCTCCAGGGCAAGAAATTGTTCCTCAGCTCCAACCTCAACCTCCCCTGGGGCAACTTGAGGCAGTTTCCTCGTGTCCTGTCCCTTGTCCCTTGGGAGCAGAGCCCGCCCCCCCCCTGGCTCCAGGCTCCTGTCAGGAGCGGTGCAGAGCCAGAAGGTCTCCCCTGAGCCTCCTTTGCTCCAGGCTCAGCACCCCCAGCTCCCTCAGCTGCTCCTCCCCACACTTGGCCTCTAGACCCTTCCCCAGCAGCTTTGTTGCCCTTCTCTGGCCACACTCCAGCCCCTCAAGGTCCTTATTGTTGGGAGGGGCCCAAAACTGACCCCAGGATTCTAGCTGTGCCCTCCCCAGTGCCCAGTCTGGGGAAAAGGTGGGAGGCTGTAGTAGTTTTAACAATTGAGACTATTAATACTGCCAAGCAAAGAGGAGATGAGACTTCTGAGTGACTAGTGAAGCCTTCAAAGGGCAGGACAGGCTGCCAACAAAGAACTTTATTTATCCTGTTGTCTGCTGAAGAAGCTTTGCATTGAGAAACGCCGTCCATAGAATTATTAGAAAACTTGGAGGTTGCTTTTTTTTATCTCAAAACGTAGAGGAGGTGACGTGGGGAGTGGTTGCTTGGGCTGTGTGACTAATGGGGTGGTACTGGCTGAAGGCAGCCACAGATGGTGCCTTTCCTCCCCCAAGTCCTCAGAGTGAGAGGGTTTGTTATTCTGAGGAAAGGACATCATACACATCGTTGTACTGGTAACTGGCTGAGTGTGGTGGACTTTGTAAACCTCTCAGCAAGAATAAACTCTGCCTAAAACCTGAGGGAGAAGGTTACGAGCAGGCAGCTGAGCAGTCGTGTGCAGATTAGAGTAAGGGTGAGGACAAGTCCCAAGTTAAATCACCCATAGATAAGAGAGGTAATAAAGTCTAGGCCTGAAGTCCCTTATCTTGGAGTACTTACAGAACTATCTGATGCAGATGCTGAAAGGTTAGCTCAGAATTATTTTCAGAGGGTTGTAGAGGAAAAGGGAAGTCTGGAGAATGAAAGAAAAGGGGAAATGCAAGTCGAGCCCTTGGAGGGGAAATGAGGAGATGGAGGGTGTCTAGCCTGGCTTGTCACATCTTCATGGTTGTCACCCACAGCAGGGTACCCCTTTGATGGTGTTTATAAGCACCTAGAGAATAATACAGTGATAAACCATCATTATGAACTGCTTTATGCTCAGCTGATGAGGCAACTGACCCCTTTGTACGGGCAAAACCAGATCCATGTGTGGTGGCTGGGATAGGGCTTGTGACACAGACCCATGTGATGTCCTGATGAGGGAACTGTGGGAGAGTAATTCAGGCTGAAACTCTTCTCTTGGTGGTGCTGGGTGTTTCCAGCAGTTTGCTGTATCAACAGTGTTCTAGATGCATGCTCAAAGTCTGGCCTTAGCCTGGCCCTGTTTAGTATTTTCATTGCACTGGAGGCTGCCTTCCAGGTTTGGCTTGTTCCAGCTCTAGCTCCCTGGCATGGGAAGAAGCAGGTTTCCTTTTCTTCTTAGCCGTGCCTGTGTCTACTCCTTGGAGGCCAAAAGCCAAAGCTGAACTCAGCTTGGTCAGTGTGACAGGAGTTCACAAAACGTGCAGGTGCTGCTGTTTTGGTGGGCTTGCAGTCTCTGGTTTACAAAATTACAGCTGTTCTAACCCTTCATCACCCCAAAAAGGCGCTGAACATCCTGAGGTGCAGGTTAGGGGCTAGTACTGGTACAGAGGATGTATTTCTGAGATCTTTTCCCAGCCCTGTGTTTTTATGAGCCTGCCTATAGGAGAAGTCGTCCCAGCTACTTAACTCCTCTTTGTTTTCCAGCCGTCAGCCTGAGCCACCAAAGAAGGAGAAGGAGACAGCTGCAATTACCACCACTCAGTCAAAGAGAGCAGATGAATGGAAGGACCCTTGGCGACGATCCAAGTCCCCCAAAAAGAAACTGGGGGTCTCTGTCTCTCCCAGCCGGGCGCGCAGGCGCCGAAAAACCTCCGCTTCTTCAGCATCTGCTTCTGGCTCTTCAAGGTGGGTGAAGGCAAAGAGCTTGTCACATCCCAGCCTCCTTCGTGTGTCAAGGGATGTGACATGACTCTGTGTTGTCCGTGGAAGGTGTTGAGATGTTTGGGAGAGTCGTTTAGGCCCTTGCAATGGGATATAGGTGGCCTTGCAATGGGATATAGGTGGTGGGATGGAAGCTGAAAGGGGCATGTAGCTGTGGGTGCTGTGATCTGGTGAAGTTGAAGAAAAGTCAAGTCCTTGGAAAAGTCACTCTTCAGGGAAATCAGACTTGGAAGCAGAGCAGATGATTGATTAGTAGCTCATCTAGATGAAAACTGACTTTAATAGGAGCTGGAAGCTGTAAAAATTAGGGACTCTTCAGTCTAGGAGTGCTGTGGGGATGAGGTGAGCCCACTCCAGGAAGAGCATGTTGATGCTACTGGGGAAAAACTGGAGTTGTGGTGGCTTGGAAGAGCCCTAGAGGGATGCAGTGGAGCAACAAAACCAGCTCGTGTGAGATAAAATCCACCTTTCAGAAAGCAGCGCCCTGAATCTGGGAGGGTGGAGGCATAAACTGGATCCATTTTCTGTAAATGCTTGAACTGAAGCTCCTGAAAAGAGGGGGAAGAATTATCAGAGGAATGAGGAACATGCTGGCTTGAAGATATGGATCTACAGACCAAAGCCCTCCTGAAGCAGATAGCTTTTCTTGCTGGGGTCACTGCACCTGAGATTTTTCTGTTTTCTCATACCTGTGTGACCCAGCCTAGCAGGGGATTGTCTGGTGCAAAGATGTAAAATGATGTGGAAGGAGTTCTCAGAAAAGGGTGGAAAGGCACTAGCTAAAGGAGAGGAGACCTATTCAAGGGAATAAAAAGGGGTAGCAGCAATGGGATCCTTCCAAAAAGAAAAAGGGGGACCAAGGAGAAGCTCTAGGCCTGGCAGACCACTGAGGAGAAGGCAGGTAATTTTCGGAGCAGTGTTTAAGAACTTGGGAAGAGCATACTGGAAACAGGATTTTGGGCTCAGAGGACTTCTCGAGTGATGCTGAATCCCAATGTTTTTTTTTCTTTCAGGTCCTCTTCTCGTTCATCCACCTATTCTGGTTCAGGTTCCTCACGATCTCGTTCCAGATCATCATCTTACAGCTCTTACTCTAGTCGCTCTTCAAGACACAGCTCTTTCTCAGGCAGCAGGTCCAGGTAATGGCTCCCTTGGCTTTAGCTCAATGATGTGCTGGTTCCCAAACCTTCACCAGATACTTTTCCACGATCTTAAACAGCCAACTCTCAAAAGAAAACCTTTCAAACCACCCTCCTGAGGGAGGGAAAGGCGCTAGACTGCAAGGGAGGCTGCTGGGTTGGTTGCTGGGTGAAGCAGCTATGTCAGCCACCCCCTCCCCTCCCCAGCATGCCCACCCACGAGGACCATGTTGGTGTGACTGGGCCAGTTGCCATCCCTGTGGTAGCTGAGCAGTTGGAGGAGCCTGGCTGAGGTTCATCATTTTTGGATTGGAAGAATTTACCAGCAACTCGTTTCTGTTGGGCTGCAGTTTCTATTTAAAGAGGCAAATCACGTTCATTAAAGCAGTTGTGTCTTGTCCTGACACTTCAAAGCAGCAGTTCAATGTCCCAGTGGCATGTTTATAACTCTGCCACTTCCTTGGCCCTGCAGACAGTTTCCCAAGTCTGGAATATGCATAGTAGGAGAACTGGCTCCCTAGATAGACACCTCTTCAGAGCTGAAATCCCACAGAGTGGATCACCCAGTTGATGGGAGCACGCTGGGAGAGGTGGTTTCTCCCAGGAAGTACTCAGGTGGGAGTTGAAAGTATGGGTTTCTGGGGAGCAGGTTGATCTTCCCCCATCTGCCCTATTTCAGGCTCCACTCCTGGCAGGACCATGCTGGGCATAGGTGACACACGTGGATTAGCATGTCCCCAAGAGGTAGGAGGGTGAGGAACACCCAAGGGCCTAACTGTTCTACAGAAAGCTGGTCATCCAGGTGCCTGGTCTTCTGAAGTTCAAAGCTGCAACAAGGGCACTTCCAGTCTTGGCAGGGGGTGAATCACTGGAATGCCAGCATCTGGTGTTGCCTCTGTGGTCAGTCCTGATCTTAGGAAACAGCTTTTGCTCTTTGATCTCTTGGCTTTGATACACTCCCCTTGATTTTTCTCCTTGTCTTCCAGAAATCCAGGTAGATGTTATTTTTGTCTCCCAGGATGTTTTTTTGCTGCTGTTGAAAGGATTGTGGGCTGCACTAGGAGTTACATCAAGCAGGTTGAAACAAATCAGGCTGACCTTGCAAGTCCAAATCCCACTTCCTTTCCTGTAGAGAGATTCTGCCTAGGGAGAGAATACAGAGGGTATGGAGGAAGCCTCAGGTGTTGCTGTGGAATCCCTGAGAGTGCCTTTCTTGCAGCCAACCCTGTTTTTCCCTTTTGTTTTCTACTTTTCCCACTGGTCTGGTGACAGAAGTTGGGTTTGGTGAGCAGAGTCAGGTACAAAACCAGGATAAGCTCAGACCTGCGGGGAGTAGTTCCTGGGATGAAACCACCACCCAAAGGAGGGAGCAGTGGCTAAATGCACCAAAAACTTTCTGCAGACCCAGAGATTGAGCTGAGTGTTGTGTCCTTCCTTCCTAGATCCAGGTCCTTCTCATCTTCACCCTCTCCTTCTCCAACACCATCTCCACACAAGCCGCTTGCGAAGGCCAAAGGGGAGTTGCTACCACCCGCTGGGAAGGGGTAAGGCTCCAGCTCTGCTCTGGTAATGCCATGTGGAAGAGGCTCCAAACAGTGGCCTGATCCCTGAGTCAGACCTTTCTGACCTGCCTGAGAGTTTAAGGAAGAAGTGGAAGGTGCAAAATATGACCCTGCATCAAAGGGTGCTTAGCTTTGCATGTTTAATTAAATGGTGACACTTTTACTTATTAAGTCCAAGTTAAACTGGACAGGTATCCTGAAGTATTATATAGTCATAGAATTATTTAGGGTGGAAAAGACCCTTTACAATTAACATTCTGTGGTTCAGATTTGTTTATACAGGAGTTAGAAGACAGTTTTAATTCATTCCTCTACCTGTAGCTTTAGTTAATGCCCAGCCTGAAACTAAAGAAACGGTTCAGCCTCATCTGCTTCTAATACTGGAGGCAAATTACAGAGGTATTAAGGCTGTGAAACTCCTCTGGGCAGATTATGCCAGAGCTCCTGCTCTGTTAAATACTTGAAGTTGCTATTTCACAAACTCCTGTAATATGCAGTAAATTATGGCTACGTCGGAGGGTGACACAACACAGCAGTGATGTCACCTCCTTTAAGGTGACCTGCAAGTCAGTGGAAATCCCCCCTGAATTCTCCAGAAGATGGGACAATCCCCTTTGCCACACTTTTTGTGCCTTATTGACCTGCTTTTTCTTTTTGCATCCTTCCCAACTTGGAGGGTCCAGCCCGTTAGGGACAGGCTCTGTGCCTGCAGTGATGTCTTTACACTCTCACAGTGCTCCTTGTGGTGTGGGTTTGGTAACATCCAACACCAGCCAGCACTGGCCTTGGTTTCCCTGCCTAAATTTGCACACACTTAATCCTGTCTTCTGCAGGGGATGGATGCAGATATTCTTAAGCACAAGAGGAGGAATTAACAGTCTCTGGTTTTGTATGCAGACAGCAGCCTCCTCCTCAATGCTGCCTCCTCCTCGGTTAAGAGCAGGCTTGAAATCAGTGCTGGGGATGTTAGAATCAGAGAATCACAGATGCTTTTGGTTGGAAGAAACCTTTTGGATCATTGAGTCCAGCCATGCCCCCAGCACTGCCAGGTCGCCACTGCCCCGTGTCCCTCACACCACATCTCCACGGCTTGGAAACCCCTCCAGGGGTGGGGACTCCACCACTGCCCTGGGCAGCCTGGCACAGCCCTGGGCAACCCTCAAGGGCAAGAAATTGTTCCTCAGGGACAACCTCAACCTCCCCTGGGGCAACCTGAGGCTGTTTCCTCTTGTCTTTGAGAGAAGAGGCCAATCCCCACATGGCTCTAACGTGTCAGGGAGCTGTGCAGAGCCAGAAGGTCTCCCCTGAGCCTCCTTTGCTCCAGGCTCAGCACCCCCAGCTCCCTCAGCTGCTCCTCCCCACACTTGGCCTCTAGACCCTTCCTCAGCTTCACGTTGAACAGTAACCAGCTATTAGAGCAGGGGTTGGAGTGAGTGCTCTGAGCAGTGCTGAAGAGCCAAAGTCATTCTCATCTTGTGTAGTGAGTGCTAGATAGAAGTGATTTTTAGGGTAACATTTGCCCATACATGGGCTCTTTTGCACCCTGGTAATCCATGTGAGGGTGTAAAAAAGAGCATTTTGAGATAAACTGTGTGCCTTGCATTCTGAAGCCTGACTGGCAGTTTTTAAGTAGGTGTGTTTGGGGTAAAACCACACAGAATCATATGTAAGAAACAGCAATTCCACACAGTCTACTTTCTAAGTTAATTTATAAGTCAAAAAATGTCTCCCAAATTTGGCTGTTGTGTAGTAACTTGTCTCTGAAAAAGTGACTTTATTTAGAGTAGAGACGGATCCTTTTAAGGGTGAAATAACCACTTGTCTGTAGCTACAGCAATCATATATTTCATCAAGAACAAATACTTCATTGCTTTTGAGAACCTCTGTGGCCTGTACCTCCTGATTTCGATCACCCACCTGGAAATTTTTATTTTTGTAGTGAAAAATCTGTGAAGAAACTTGCTGCCCTTCCAGTCCCTCAGCCGCTCGCTAAAATTACCACAGCCACACCAGAGCCAGCCAAACCAGGGGATAATCGAGAGGCCAGGAGGAAGGAACGTCAGACAAGGACTCCACCCAGGAGGTAAGAAAGCTGTGGGGTGGAGTGAGGCTTGGCATCCTGGATGGGAGAACAAATCCTGGCATTTCCTAGGCAGTCCCAGCTACGAGGGCGCTCCAGTTTTGAAGGAGAAATCTGTTTCCTAGGGAAGGGGGTTGGGGTGAATGCTGGTGACTGGCCCCAGCAAGTGGCTCTTGCTTCTGAAGGCTTGGCTAGGGGATGAAGTAGGTGGAATACAGGAAACATGTCCAAACTGGGGTCTGCAGAGCTAGAAAGGCCTGGTTTAGAAGTGCTTGTGTGGAGCCTGTACAGCAAAGAATCGATGGTGTGTTTGGTCTGGAGAGGACCAGAAGGACTTAGGGGTGCTGGTGGGTGTAGGGTTGGGTGTGAGCCAACAATGCACACTTGCAGCTCAGAACCAGTGACATCCTGGGCTGCATCAAAAGCAGTGTGGGCAGATGGAGAGAGGGGATTCTGCCCCAGTGAGACCTCACTTGGAGTCCTGTGTGCAGCTCTGGAGCCCCCAGCACAAAAAGGACGTGGACCTGTTGGAGTAAAGCCAGAGGTGGCCACAGAGATGATCAGGGGGCTGGAGCATCTCTCCTGCAAGACCAGGCTGAGAGAGATGAGCCTTCCTGTACCTGAAGGGGCCCTACAGGAAAGCTGGGGCAGGACTGGTTACAAGGGTGTGTAGCAACAGGGTGAGGGGCAATGGTTTTAAACTAGAGCAGGAGAGATTTAGATCAGACATTAGGAAGAAGTTCTTTACTCTGAGGGTGGTGAAACACTGGCACAGGCTGCCCAGAGAGGTGGGGGAGGCCCCATCCCTTGGAGACATTCAGGGTCTGGAGACATTCAGGGTTAGGCTTGATGGAGGTCTGAGCACCCTGCTCTAGTTGGGGATGTCCCTGCTCCCTGCAGGGGGGTTGGAGTAGGTGATCTTTAAAGGTCCCTTCCCACCCAAACCATTGTATGAGGGCAGATCTGCCCTGCTGGAGGGTCAAGGATTCATGGGGATGGGTTTGGGACCTCTGTACTCTAAACACATGTCAGTAGGCAGGGAGTGGTGGTTCTCTGTGGCCCCAGGAGCTGGTTCATCAGCCTCCAGCAGTACCACTGGAGGAGAGGAGGGAAAACTCCTCTACTTTCACTGCCCCAGCACACAGCTTGCTGGCTCCCCTGCTCTTCTTTTCCTGGCATCATCCCATGTGACTAATTTGAACATTTCAAGTTTTTTTCTGTCCATCTTCTAACTGTTTTTGTTGCTTTTTTTTCTCCTCCCTTTGCATTGGAAACAAGAGCAGCGTTCAAACCAGGAGCACTTGGCTGTATTTCAATATTTATCAGGCTTAATCCTTTGTACTGGATTTAAAAAATATTCCTGGAAAAATGCAGGTAGCATCACCTGTTCTTGGAGGGACACAGAGTCAGCCAAGCACAGCTCAAACTCACCATGAGTCCTCCTTACATTAGAAGTCATGAAATAGCAGTTTGGTGCCTGTGTGTCTAGCCTGTGGAAGACACAAACTACTGAGTTTGGTGTGTAAGAGATGTGTGCTCATAAACCAGACATTTCTAGTAACTACATGGAGAGTGTTTCATGCCTGCAGTAAGGTATATGTGGTTTTCTGGGTCACTGGGTATGTTTTGAAGATGGCCTTAAGTCTGTTTTTTGTTCAGGTTTTCAGAAGTGTCCTTCTGGAATCTTTCTGCTAGGAGGCCAGGCTGAGAGAGTTGGGATTGTTCAGCCTGGAGGAGATGGTTCTGGGGAGACCTTCTGGTGGCCTTCCAGTATCTGAAGGGGGCTTGCAAGAAAGCTGGGGAGGGACTTTTTACAAGGGATTGTAGTAATAGGACAAGGGGTAATGACTTCAGATTGGAAGAGGGGAGATTTAAATGAGAATTCAGGAGGAAGTTCTTCCACTGTGAGGGTGGTGAGACCCTGGCCCAGGTTGCCCAGGGAAGTTGTGGATGCTCCATCCCTGGAAGTGTTCAAGGCCAGTCGGGACTTTGAGCAACCTGCTCCAGTGGGAGGTGTCCCTGCCCATGGCAGGGGGGTTGGAACTAGATGATCTTTATGATCCCTTCCAACCCAAACCCTTGTATGAGTCTGTGATCCCGGGTCAATTCTTGATTTCCCATGGGATCACATCTTCTGCTTCTTCCCAGTAGCTAAGGAAAAGGCCTGGGCTGGGCAGTTCTGTCTGCATAGCTGAGAACTGAGTGTGGCAGTTTGTTTTCCCTAGAAACTCCCATCAGTTCCAGTTTCCATTTCACTTAACTCATTAATAACAATAATAATAATAATCTTGGATGTCTTTAGTCACCCGCCTTTATTCTTTAGCCCAGCCTTGTGTGTTCTTCATGCTCATACCTGCAGAAGCCCCACTGCCCTGCACTCCAGTGCTGTGCAGGTAAAAACCAGCTCTGTGTACGTTAGTCCTGGTGTGTCAGTCACAGAACAACCCCTCGTGTGATTGTTTGTACAGCCTGAAGGACAAGTCAGCCCCACCGTGTTACGCAGCGAGCCGTCCTCCTGTGTAGGAAGCATTTGCTCCTGGTATCAGTACAGGATTAAAGTACTTGAGCTCATTCTTTGCTTGGCTCTCATCAGCATTATTCAGTCTTGCCTAAAACATCCACTGGGTAGAAAGCAGACACTTTTTCAGGACTGGGAGCCCAAAGTTGAGGAGAGGATCCTGAAACGATCCCGTTTGCGAGGCACCAATCTGGCCTACGAGCCTGAGGCTCAGGCTGGCCCTGCCTGGTCTCTGCCCAGGCCGTTCCTGGCAGAGCATGGTGAGGTGAGGATGTCCTTTGGTGAGGTGAGGATGTCCTTTGGTGAGGTGAGGGTGTCCTTCAGTGAGGTGAGGGTGTCCTTGGGTGTCTTGCAGGAGAACCATCAGCGGCAGCATCAGCGGCAGCTCCAGCAGCTACAGCGGTTCCAGTTCCCGGTCCAGGTCCTTGTCTCGGTCTCTCTCCAGATCTCATTCCAGATCTTCATCTGCCTCAGTCTCCCACTCCCCGTCTGGGTCCAGAAAATCCAGGTATGGCCTCCACCTTTCATAACTTTTGCTGAAGTTGTTCATAATTATTCCATCACTATTCTACAGCTCCCTGAAGAGGGAGGTTGTGGGGAGGTGGGTGCCGACCCTTCTCACAAGTGACAAGACAAGAAGAAACGGCCTCAAGTTGCCCCAGGGGAGGTTGAGGTTGTCCCTGAGGAACAATTTCTTGCCCTTGAGGGTTGTCCAGGCCTGTGCCAGGCTGCCCAGGGCAGTGGTGGAGTCCCCACCCCTGGAGGGGTTTCCAAGTCATGGAGATGTTGCTGAGGGACATGGGTCAGCAGTGGACTTGGTAGAGTGAGGTAAATGGTTGGACTCAATGGTCTTAAAGGTCTTTTCCAACCCAAGCAATTCTATGATTCCATTAACTCTTGGGGCTTCTTGCAGCAAAAGCTCTCTCCAGCTTTGAGTCTCAGAAGCTATGAGTAACTAGGACATGAAACAGGATTGTTTCTTTGTGTGGTGTTGCAAATCTTGAGTCCTGAATCATGACAGTAGCACAACATTGGTGATGTCCTCACGACTTATTCAAGGAAATAATCTGTCACATGTGCCCAACTGCCCATTTTGACCTACACTGTGACCAAACCATCTCCCTTAAAGCCAGGCTGATCCCATGTGCAAATGTAGTTACACGTTAATGGTTTGGGGCTATGAGCTTTGCTCTTTTAAACCTCTACTACCTCTGGTTACTGAATGTCCTTAGGGGAGATGCTTGGCCTGTCAGGAGGAGTAGGTCAGACAATGCCTAAAAGGCCCAGCTAGGAATAGTTTTATTTTGTGGGCAGAGTTGCATGGCCAGTTCCCTTTGTGTTTAGCCCCAAGTGAGTAGCTACATGGCTGTTAGTCTGTGGGATTTGTAAGCAGCTGACACCCTCCAGTAAAAAAGCCATGAAATAAAAACTCTTTAAGTCCTTTGTTGGGTTTTTTTTTGCATCTCTTTGCACCCAGGAATCCCTGAAATCCTCACAGGTAGCCTTGAATCACGACACTTCCCTGTGATAGAGATGTATAAAAGCAGTGGATTAAGCAGGACTTGGCTCTGGGCAGTGGTAACTCAGGTAGCTGAACTCTGTGGGACTCCCAGGATGGCACATTTGTGTTATTTTAAGGAAATAAAACCTTGTTTACCATGTGCTTGTCACATTCATCAGATCAGGAAGGGATGAGGTGATGCAAGAGGTTCAGAGAGCTCTTGGGCACGCTGGCCCTGCATGGGGAGGAGAAGATGGGGAGAACTCCACACAAGTGTTGTTCATGTGGCACTGGGACCGTGTGTGCTCCTTCCAAAGGTGTGTGGGGAAAGGGAGCACACAGGCCAGACAGTGTGTGCCCAAACCAGATCTGCTGTCACAACCTCCTAGCCAAGAGTTTTCCTGGAGAAGGAGTTTCTGGCTCATCCAGTTGCTTCAGTCCGTGGACCTCTCAAAACTCTGTCAGGATGCCAGCAGGTAGAGGCTCTGCAGCTCACCCCAGGCTGCTGAGGCTGCTGCTGCAGCCTGCTTGGTCATGTGCAAGCCATCTTCCAGTGCACCACCTTGGACTATATGTCACTGCTTAGCCTGGAGCAAAGGAGGCTCCGGGGAGACCTTCTGGCTCTCCACAGATCCCTGACAGGAGGCTGGAGCCACATAGGATTTGGGTTCTTCTGCCAAGGACAAGAGGAAACGGCCTCAAGTTGCCCCAGGTAGCTTGAGGTTGGAGCTGAGGAACAATTTCTTTCCCCTTGAGGGTTGCCCAGGGCTGTGCCAGGCTGCCCAGGGCAGTGGGGGAGTCCCCACCCCTGGAGGGGTTTCCAAGCCGTGGAGATGTGGTGTGAGGGACACGGGGCAGTGGGGACCTGGCAGTGCTGGGGAAGGGTTGGACTCCGTGATCTGAAAGGTCTCTGCCAACCCAAATGATTCCATGATTCTCAGTTGTGACAGTGTGTTGTTCATCCTCAAAACAGGCCGCTGGGCTCTCCTGTACCCTGGGGAGCTGGGCAGGAGCTGTGTGGGCTGTAGGACTCCAGGGCCTTTAAAGCCTTTGGGAATAAACATGGGCCAAACAACGAAACCATGGCCAGGGAGCCCTTGACCTGAGCTGTGACGCTGACCTGTAGGTGATAGCACACACCCTGCTCTCACTTTTTGTTCACCAGGGGAAACGTGACCTGTTTACGTGTTGCCTTAATCCTCTTTATAAACAAACAATACTTTCTAGACCAGCATCTTAGATTTTTGGCATTTTCTCCCATCACCTGCACCCGGGGAGGCGCAGCCTTTGTCACCACCCCTGTTCTCACTGCCTTAGCAGCCTCCCGACGCCCCAACCCCGCACGGGGAGTTAAAGCCAAGGTGTCTGGCTTCTTGCTGCATTCCTGACTGTAAGGAGCTGTTGTTTTTCCCCAGGTCCCTGAGCGTGAGCAGCGTTTCCTCTGTCTCCAGTGCCTCCTCCAGCAGCAGCTCCGTGCGCAGCGCCGACTCCGAGGACATGTACGCGGACCTGGCCAGCCCCGTGTCCTCGGCCAGCTCCCGATCCCCCACCCCGGCGCAGCAGAAGAAAGGTAGAGGTACCTGGTTGGGTGTTTTCTTCTCTAAGGGGATCCTGGGGAAAGAAGGGGAGAGTGGGGATCTGAATACAGGTTGCTCGGTGGCACTGTAGGCTCTGGGAAGGTTGTTGAGCAAAGAGTTGTGGTGTGGAGCAGGGGAACCCAGAGGCTTCACCTCAGGAAGGTGAGACCGTGGAGCAAGCACATGTTCACATCCCTCCATCCATGTGTGTCTGGCTCTAAAGGTGCTTCCTACTGCCTGGGAGATCTGCCTGATATGCCCCCTGACTTACCTTTTCCTTTCTCCCTCACAAGGTGACACTAATTCTTCTGGGCAGCTCCAGGATCATGTTGTTCATCCTCTTTTTAGGTCGTAGCAGAGCTGCCGGCAAGGAGCCTTTTGTTCTTTGTCTTTTTTTATGTTAAGTGTCCTCTCTGTGGAAATTCTGGTTTCCTGAAGCTCTTAACCTTGAGGCCACTTGCTGTGTGAAGTGATGTGGGGTTTTTCAGTCCCTGGAGCAGCATCAGCATCCTCGGGCAGGGGTCACAAGTCGCTACAGCTGCTCTCTGGTTTCCACAGGCAAGTCAAAAAAAGAGGATAGCGCTAAAGAGGAGAAGCGGAAACGGGATGTGCCCACCCAGCTCCTGAAATCAGCCAAGCCCACCCCGGGGGGCAAGTCCCAGCAGCTCCTGCAGACCCAGCAGCCCTCTGCCCCCCAGGCTCAGCAGGGCGGGGGCTTCAGCGCCCACAAGGAGATCAAACTGACACTCTTGAACAAGGTGAGAAGTGGGGTGGGTGCTGTTCCCACTGCTTTGGGGGTGTGAAGAGCGGATGGTCCCACACTCCCCAGAAGGAGCTTGAGGGGCTGGAGCGTGGCCAGAGAAGGGCAACGAAGCTGCTGGGGAAGGGTCTAGAGCCCAAGTGTGGGGAGGAGCAGCTGAGGGAGCTGGGGGTGCTGAGCCTGGAGCAAAGGAGGCTCAGGGGAGACCTTCTGGCTCTGCACAGCTCCTGACAGGAGCCTGGAGCCAGGTGGGCGTCGGGCTCTGCTCCCAAGGAACAAGGGACAGGACAAGAGGAAACTGCCTCAAGTTGCACCAGGGGAAGTTTAGGTTGGCCCTGAGGAACAATTTCTTGCCCTGGAGGGTTGCCCAGGGCTGTGCCAGGCTGCCCAGGGCAGTGGTGGAGTCCCCACCCCTGG